TTACTTCATCACTAAGATACCATCTTACTTCATCACTAAGATACCATCTTACTTCATCACTAAGATACCATCTTACTTCATCACTAAGATACCATTTAAATATTATTATACTGCACCTGCACCTTACCTATTAAGGTATGCAATTTATCATATATATACACATAGATAACATAACATATGCATGTATCCTCTTACGTTCATCATGTCCTTGCACATATATCATCCATGTATATTATTTTATCAAGCATACCATTAGATATTCAATTATTAATCACGTATAATTTTACCTCAACCCAGATTGTCTGAAACCGGGTTATAACATTCTTCCCCCTTTATAAAGAATTTCGTCCCGGAATTCATTCAAATAGCCTTGGATAACGGGTTCTCATATCTGATTCCAATTCCCATGTTGCTTCTGTACCCTTATGAAAACGCCATTGTACCTTGACTAGACTGATCTCTTTATTTCTTAGTACCCTGGTCTTTTTGTCCGTTACTGCCTCTGGGGTCTCGATGAAATTTAACTTTTTATCGAGTTTGATCTTGGGAAGTGGTATTACTAAGCTCGGGTCTGCCAAACACTTGCGTAAATTCGACACATGAAAGGTACTATGAATTAGGCTGAGTTCCTCTGGTAGTTCCAACTGATAAGCAATCGGTCCCACCCGTTTGCAGATTCTGAATGGTCCATTATACCTTGGACTAAGCTTTCTTTTCTTCCCGAATCTCATAACACCTTTCCATGAAGATATTTTTAACATTACAAAATTTCCTATATTTAACTCAATTGGCTTCCTTCGTTTGTCGGCATAGCTTTTCTGTCGATCTTGGGCAGTCTTAATCTTTGCACAAATTTGCTCAATCTTTTCGGAAGTTGTCTGCACAATTTCGGGACCTTTCAACTGCTTTTCACTTACCTCATTCCAACACAACGGCGTTCGATATTTTCTTCCATACAATACTTCATAAGGTGCCGCTTGGATGCTGGAATGATAATTGTTATTGTAGGCAAACTCTATCAACGACAAATGTTCCTCTTATGATCCCCCGAAGTCGATGACACAAGTTCTCAACATGTCTTCAAGAGTCTGGATGGTTCTTTCACTTTGCCCGTCCATTTGTGGGTGGTAAGTCGTACTTAATCTGATATCTGATCCTAAGGCTTTTTGCAGGCTTTCCCAGAATTTTGAAGTGAAGCGACTGTCTCGGTCAGATATAATGGATAATGGAACACCATGTCTAGTCACAATTTCCTTGATATAGATTTGAGCCAATTTTTTTCCAAAGAATATGTTTCTTTCATTGGTAGGAAATGTGCGGATTTTGATAATCGATCCACTATTACCCAAATTGCATCATAACCTTTCGGAGTTCGGGGTAACTTCATGATAAAGTCCATTGTAATGTGATCCCATTTCTAGACTGGTATTTCCAATTATTGTAGGTTTCCATAGGGTCTCTAATGTTCAATTTTAACTTGTAAGCAAGTTAAGCATCGCTCCACATGTCTTGCTATGTCTTTCTTGAGACCTGGCCAACAATAAAATACCTTCAAATCTTTATGCATCTTGTTGGTACCTGGATGGATTGAATAACGAGACTTGTTTCATTCAGGACGGTTTCTCATGTATTTTCGAAAACTGGTACCTATATTCGACCTTGGAAACATAAGATTCCTTCCGTATTTGGTTCTAAAATGGAAATCATCTTTCCCACATTTTCTACCTTCACATGTTCATCCTTAATGGCCTCTTTCTAACGGTTCAAAATTTCTTGGTGAATATCAGTAGTTAGGTTAATTCTCATTGCTACCGATTTGATAGTTCCACTTCTTTCTTTTCGGCTCAAGGCATCGGCTACCACATTGGCTTTTCCCGGATGGTAGAGTATTTCACAGTCATAATCATTAACAAGTTTGATCCATCGACGCTGCCTCATAATTCTTTCTGGTTGAACAAGTGTTGTAGGCTCTTATGATCAGTATAAATTTGGCACTTTGTTCCCAAGAGATAATGTCTACATATTTTCAATGCGAAGACTACGGCAGCCAATTCCATATCATGAGTCAGGAACTGATTTTCATGATCTTTAAGTTGCCAAGATGCATATGATATAGCCTTTCTGTTATAACCAGGTTTGAGACAACCTGAGTTGAGGTAATTTATACATGTTTATTATGTGAATTATGTGAAATATGCATATCTAAGTAGAAATGCATGAACCATATATGTGAACATGATATTGTGCATGCATATATGTGAAAATATGTCATGACATATATGATTTATACATGTATGCATGTGGTATGAAGCATACATGAGGTGGTGTTTATTGTATTCGGGTGAAATTATTATATCTTCATGGTTAAGAAATTATGAATTTTATAATGATTTATCCACCGCCCAAGATTATTTCTATTGGAAGAAGCTTTCACCGCCTATGAGTTTTATA